AGAGACAAAACAATAACAACTGGCCACTACACATTCCAACAACATTTTAAACATGGTGTTGTTTCTTATACTCACCTTCATTTTCTACCTCAGAACCAAGAGATATAGCCATATAATTGCCTGATGAATAGGAAATTAAATTTGCTAGTATTAAAAATCCTTTTAAATTCATTCATTCAATCCATTCAATGAGTACCTACTAAAAGCCAAATCAGAATTTGTAACATTTAGTAATAATTTAGAGTTAGGAGAGCTGAGAAGTAATGTAGAATGTCTTATGTTAATATTTTATTTAACATCCTAGTACTATGCAAATTTTAAAAAAAATTTTAGAAAAAAATAAATGTTTATAATCCTATTATCCACTGAATTGTTCTGTCTTTATCTTCTTCTCCAAGTTTTTTCACATCTCTGATACTTTTTCATCTTAAATTCTTATGGAAGTGTATTTGAAATATCATAAATTTAAAAATGAAGGCAGTCAAGAATAATAATATTGCTTTTTTCTTTTTTTGCAGAGCTCTAGAGACACAAAGATATCTCCTCTGAATCTCAAAATATATTTTCAAACGTGATATAATATAAACATCCTGTGTGACAAAAACTACAGTCTGATATTGAGACAGATCTGTTAATAAATAATTACCAAAAAATAGAACAGTCTACGGCCATGCTACCCTGAACAACCCCAATTCCATCTGATCTCGGAAGCTAAGCAGGGTCAGGCCTGGTTAGTACTTGGATGGGAGACCACCTAGGAAGACCATCGCTGTAGCGTAGAAAATAAAAAAATAAGGGATTGTAAGCTGACAAGGTCTTTGCAAACTGTGAGGTCAACCAAGGGTTGCCTCACCTAAAAAAAAATAGAACACATTTTACTTTTCACACTTAAATAGTTAATCTACTTTAAACTGGATTTTGCTTATGGTGAGAAATAGGATATGTTTTCTTTTCCTTCAATATGAAATATTATCCCAGAACCATTCATTAAATCACACATCCCCTCCTCACTGATCTGCAACATGAGCTTCATATATCTCACTGACATTGAGACACGGCTGTCTACTATGTCCCACTGCACTGTTTGACTCTCCTGCATTAATGCCAGGTGCTCCAAGCACAGTAAACTGCTCCAGGCAGTTTATTTATTTGGAGGAGGTAAGACATGCTCAGGCACCTGGTTCCTGTGACGTAGGAAGGGGATCATCTGAAAGGCACCCCAGAGAATGGCTCCGTTTTAGGGTTTGTGAATTCTGAAAGTGACCACATCCAACGCCAATTATAACGTGTTCTATGCGTTGTACTTTTTTCCTATTATCCCCAAACTTTCATTAAAATTGTGCTAAATGTTATAGTCTTGCCTCGTCTTTCACCCAGGGAAATAAGAGAAGGTACACAGAAGCAATGAGATGAAATAGCGCAAGGCAGGGCAGCTGTTGGGAGACGATGCTCCACAAATATGTTCATGTTTCTGCAGTCGGCGCTTTCTGAGAAGAGAGGCTAATTGAAGAGCAACCCAAAAGACAGAGGCGTCTGGAGACATGTAGAGATTTATCTCGCTGGGACCATTTGTATAGATTACACAGTGGTGAAAGAGAGATCTTTCCTTCCTCTCCTCAGAGTATTTGTTTACATTCTCTCTTTCCCCTTCCCATCCTCACCCACTTCCTTGTAAGCCAGAGGGGAGGGTGGGCAGATGTGCTAGCAACTCCTGTATAAATTCTAAGCCTCAAAATTTGGCGATTCCTTGCTTACAGTACAAACCCTGTATGTGTAGGTACATGTGGCGTTCACTGTGCCACCTCAAGGATAATTTAGGGCTTGGAACTGATGTGAGCTGGTCTATGAGAAAGGTCTGTTCCTTGATTCTGAGGTCTCATGTTTATAAAGATATACATATATAGGTGATATTGATATATAAATATAGAGATGGATGTAGATATGGGTATAAAGATAGACATTCAGAGATGTAGAAAATTATGGCAGGTTAACTTGTTAGCTTCCAAGTAAGGTAACATTTCAGACTTTTCACAGCTTCAGACTTCACAGGAGCTACAATCCAAGTAAAATTTGGAAATCATTGAAAGTGATCTTGACAGTGGCCCAAAAGCAACATGGAGACCAGAAATCTGGGGGTGGATGGTGCTAGGTCTGCAAGAGGCATCCAGGACAGATCTGTTCTCAAAGTTTCTGGTAACTCTACGGGGCAACAAAATTGGTAATAGACTGAATTTTCTGCAGTCGAGGGGATTGGGAGGTGAGGTTGGAGAGGTGGGCTACAGTGTGACCAAAATTAGCAATCTGACATTGAAGAACTTGGACTTCATTCTACAGGCGATGAATACTTTTAAGCAATGATGAGATTTGTGGGTTTTTTGTTTTGTTTTTGTTTTTTTAAGATCACTCTGACTGCAATGCCTAGCATAAATTATAAGTGACTAACAGTAGGAAGAAAAAAAAAATAGAGATGATTATACTAGTCTAAGTGACAGATGATGAAGCCTTCAACTAAGGTCTATAGATTCTGGTCCTGTCTCTCTTAAAGTGATGTTAAAATTAGATCTAGCTTCTCTGGTGATTGAAAATACATTTCTTCCTGATTCCGGAATTTGGATTATAGCAAATATGCTTCTTGTGCTCATTCAAATTGAATATATAATCAGTTTTCCACTACATCTTCTCTTGCTACACCGTACCTTATAACTAAATATTCAGCAGATTCTTGAGTCACATCTTTCCCCAAAAAGGTCTCCATACTTCTCTGCCCTCAAGATGCCATGTCTCTTTTCCACTCTTCCTTCTCTTCCTCCTCTCATTCCGTAGCCCTTATACAGAAGACAAAAGGAAAATAACAGAAATGCGTTTTCTTCCCTTTTGCCTTTTTTTCCTCCTCTTTCTTCTTCTTATCTACCTCCAACTTCTTAATTTACACCTGTCATTCCACCTCTGAAAGTTCCCATTTATAGCTGATAAATGACACTGACAATGACCCTAGCTACAACCAAGGAAAGAATATTTGGGACTTGAAATACCTCAACTCTCATGTGTCTGCAGTCCTAGTTCCTACTGCTGTTGACCTTGTAATCTTTTCCTCCATCAAGTTCTGTATAATTCGAACCTACACCTTCAGTGCATCCTGGTTCTTCATCCTCTCGGTGTCTGTTTGAGTCCCTGAGGATTCTGCATCCCTTCGTGAACTCTCCTCTTCACTGCTGATGTCCACGTTGCTTTTATCTCAGGAGGCACTCGCCCCTCAGAGAGAAGCTCTCTCATGATAATCCTGCAAAATAGGCACAGAATAGATATTATCTCTCTCTTATAGATGGAAAAATGAAGTCACAGAGACTTGAAGTGACTTACTTCAGAGTCACACAGTACATCAGTGTCAGCACTGAGACAAACAGCCTGGCTGCCTCACTCATCATGTACTGCTTTTTCTAGGACAACATCCTAACTAGTTAGAAACATTTTTCAGACAAAAGACTTCCATTCATTCTCAAGGATTTAATTAAAGCTTTCCACAATGCTCAAAGGAAAAAAAAGGAAAAGCTTAGAATAGCCTATAATGTAATTCTGATTGCCTTTCTCCTAAAAAAAAAAAAGAAAAGAAAAAATCAGGCCTCTAGCTTCGTCAAAACACTTGAGCTATATTTCAGAGAACTTGAACAGTTATCTAAAGTTCAAGAAGAAGCCTTTTAAAATTCTTTCCAACTGTCCAGACAATACAGGGTATTTAATGATTTTATTAGTATAATCAAAATAAATCAATTTCCATTCCATTATATGAAATCTAAAGAATGTTTTAATTATATTATATGATTGTACTCTTTACTCCCAGAAATATAAACACTTGAATCAATAGTTTAAATTATAAGCAAGTACTGAACTTGATGCTTTTCCCAAAGACACTAAATACTATTGAAATTCCAAGAAAAAAGCATTTTCCTTAAATCTACATTACAGGTTGCAATCTCTCACACGATCTCAATAAATAAAATTAGATGGCTTCCGTTCTGTGTCTGCCATAGGAATTTTTCAGTAAGGTTCACAAAGTAAACGTTTTAAATATTTTATATTTTATGTATTGCAATAAGAAACAGAAAAGGTTTGTAACTCTATAATATACAATTTCGATATTCAATGAATATATAAATTCTACGTTTAAAAACATTAATTGGCTCCACGTTCTTGAATACAAGAATTGTCAAATGTCTTTAGAGTATTTTTTCTTTTTTTCCCACCAGCTTTACTGAGATATAATTGACTATAACGTAGTTTAAGTTTAAGGTATAAAATCTGATGATTTGATGTCAGGAAACTGAAGGTCAGTCTGGTCTTTGGTCTGTGGTGGTTTCTATATTTATTGTTTTTCTTTCTGCTATAATTGATGCTACTATCAAGTATCTGTTGGATACTCCTTTTCACAGCAAGCTAGAGAGGTGTCCCTTCCAAAGTTTGTCTACCCAGACTACCAGCTCAGTTATAGGGATCATTCCTCCAGTATCCATGAGTCACTCCCAACAGAGGCCAGCTATCAGCCCAGCTCAATGAATCTCTCCTCTCTTCTTCCTTCCAACCATCAGCCTCTCTCCCCTCATTCTTCTCTCTTCTAGGCAACTTCACTCCATCTTTTTTTGAGCCTGACTTCCCCAAGAATGGTTATATGGTGAAGGTAATACAAAAGAGAAGAAAGCAGGTCTCTTGATCAATCATTCTCAAAGCACACTGTGCATGATGATCACTTGAAGTGTCTTTTAACATGTATGCCTTATTCAATCAGTTTTGAGTGGATCCCAGGAATTTGCAGGAAGGGCCCTAAATAAATGTAAACAGGTGGTTCCAGGGCCTGGAGAAACATTGGCCTAAGTCCTACAATACAAACTCTTGGCTGACCCTTCATGACAGATGGGAATGGAAAAACTCTTCTCAGCCTTTTATGATGAACCTACAATTAGCCTTCGATCTGGAAAATACAGGAATTGATTTCTCAAATCAGCTTACCTTGCTTCATAAGTTTTACAAATTTTTTCTAAGATATAAAAATTCTGGTGTCAGGATAGAACTCGGTCCCTTTGAAATGACAATGGCTAATAGATCGAGTCATTTAATGCACAAGAAGCAGAGAAGGTATTAACATGATGCATATGATATTAATGTGGAATATTTTACATATCTATGTGAATTACATACTCATATTTTCAGATATTGCTATTGCAAGAATTTTCACTGCCAGCTTATTTTACAAGCCTATATGTTATACATACACATCTATCCATGTCTTATAGAAAAACACAAAGCAATTTTACTTTTCTCATAGAGAAATTTTTTCTTATTTTGCTTTCACCTCACAGAATATATATCCAGTCTTATAATCATAACAATTTCTACCTAAGAAAAAGAATATGTAAAGAGTACAAAGCATAGTAATGAAGTGACATTCAAAGTGAATATTTCTTTTCTCCTTTTTCTTCCTCCCAGTAAGTACTCCAAGACATCCATTAGCTGATCTCAGGAAAAAAAAAAAAAAAATTTTTTTTGAAATATGAAAAATTGAAAGCTAGAAAATGTAAAATAATAATGATAAAAATGTAAACAGTAGCCCCTTGGTGGAAAGGTACATCCAATACTTTTATTGTTATCCTATCACCATTGTACATAAGAAATGGAGCCTCGTAGGGAGCATATGCCTATAATTCTGGTTAGATAATTTCTCTCCTTGAATACCTATCCCAAGGCTTTTTTTGTGTGTTATTGTACCATTTACAAAAAAGGGGAGAAATCGTTGTGAATTAAATGTAAAATATCACTGTATGTAAAATCACTTTTAGATTGTTTTATTCCTTTGTAGTATACTACCTTCTTGCTATTATTCACCAGACGAGAATTCGATGGATACTTGCCTTACTACATTGAGATGCCTCCCAAAACTGAGGACAGTACTTTAATTTTTTGATTACAGTGAGAAAAAATTTTCAGGACACTAAGAGGCAAAGTGTGGCCCTTTACTCCCTACTAAATGCAGTACCGCTCCTGCCCTCTGCCTTAGAATCCATAGCTGGGTGGCTCTCTGAATAGCAGGGTCAGACATAGAGGGACTGCTTCAGAAGCAACCAAGGCTGTGTGCAGTAAGCCCAGGTGACCAGTGTACAGGACAGAGGTGTACTGTTACTTTCTTCATAGAAGAAATTATGACTCTTTGAGATATTCTATGTTTAAGATGTTCGGCTGTGCTTTACCTTATTTTAAAACATTGATGAGCAGATTTTACACCTTATATTCATAAAGACATTTTTAAAAATAAGAATTATCTCCAAAGGAAGAGAACATTTGACAATGGACTATCAGATGCTATGTGGTCTCCTTTATATTCCTTCTCTAAGAACAATACATTACAGCCACCAACCATTCACTCATTAGCTTTGCAACAGAAGGAAAATAGATCTTAGCAGAGACCCAAGTAGGGGATTTGCTCAGGAATGTCTTATAACTACACTAAAATAGTGTGTGTAGAGGATTTCCTTCAGGTCACCTGCTTGTCCTAACCTGAAGTTGCTGTGACTTGCACTTGACAGCATGACCAGCCTGAACTAAATAGAGAAGACAGTACTCAGAAATTGTGTGTGTGTGAGAGAGAGAGAGAGAGACAGAGAGAAAGAGAGAGAGAGAGAGGATGGAAACTCCTTAAAACATAAAATTCATTAGCACAGAAAAGATGAGAAAAGATTGATTGAGAGATATATTTCTGAAGATGTGTGAAATCTATTTTATTACTAAAAACTTAATTTTTTTATTGCCTATTAGTTTCAGACATACTTTAGCTCCATTTCTGAATTATTTTTCTTAGCATGGCTACTAAAGGTATAGCTTTCAGAATTTCTGACTTTCCTCCTCCTTGCTCTTAGAAAGCAGTTAATGACTTGATAGCCAAGACTTAAATGCATCAAGGGAAGTAATTAATCATTTTGCAAAATGAGGTCACACTCTTTGTAATGTGAAAACTCACAGTTTATGTAACTGTTTAGCAAATCTATATTTTCTTAATACTGATATGACTAAACAGAAATGTAATTTATACTTTATTTCAGATACCTAGTCTTAAAATTATAGTTCAACTATCTTATTGAGATTAGTTAATTATTTCTGAAAACTCTAGAGAGCTATTGATGCAATCTAGAGCTAGATGATGCCTCTAAGGTGCGGGAAGCAATTCCTGCTAACAGTTCATTTTGGATCTATTAAATTTCTCTTCAGATATTAATATATATAAAATATAAACTGCTTCTGTATCTTCTTAATTTTTTCCTATTAGTAAAAAAAAAAAATTAAATTCTCTCTTCTATGTGGAGTTCATTAGTGATTTCATTGTTTGTGAGTGAGTGTGTGTGTGTGTGTGTGTAAGAAAGGGCTCGAGGGAAGCAGAAAATATATGCCTTCTATAAACTGGAGAAATGGAACAATCACTTTTGGACTATAGGCAAAAAGATGATGCTTGGGAAATAGACAATAAGACTTTTAAGCAAGTTTCGTCTTTCTGATTTTGTTCTTTTCTACTGTTCGATATAATTTTTAACAGCTTTGCTCAAGGGAAGTTTGGGAATGTGGAAAAAATCAGGCGACAGCATGTGCATATTATATAGTATTATTTCACGGTATACAAAACTGTTTTCCTCTTGTTAGACTTAAGAGCATATCAGAGTGTATACTGTTCTCTTTGAAAACTTATGTGCAGGAAAAAAGCAGTACATATCATACAAAACAGCAATTTGTAATTCACTCTACCACAGTTTTTAACTGCATCTTTGGTTTCGTTGCATCGGTAAGGGCACCGTATTGTGATGTCAATTTTTTCACCTGTGAAAAAAATTCATTTAATTCATCAACAGCATTTTATATCGTTACAAGAAAAATTCATTTGAGAATAATGACCAAAAAAACTCAAACATACAGAAAGACTGTTTTAGACATCGAATAGTTATAGCTTAATTTCCCCTTAAAATTGAATCATTTCTTATACAACTGGAGACTGATATGGTTTGATAATGTCCCTAAAATATGATTCAGAACAAATGGATTTAACATTACAGAATAATGTCATTATATTTTGGACTTTTCTACTTTCAATTTGAGGAGATGTCCTAACTGAAAGAATTTGTGATCAAGAACAAGGAAGCCTGGACTTGGGTCTGGACCCCTCCTTGTCAACTACCCATGTCAACTCCGCCAAACTATTTAACCTCTGCAAGCACAGTTTCTATATTCTACAAAATAAAAGAGTTTTAACTTATTGGGAAAACTAATTCAAGATTCTAGGTGAATGTCATAGGGTTTTTGTTTACTTCTTTTTGTTTTTTTTTATGAGAGGTTTTTATTTGCTTGTTTGTTTGTTTGTTTTTGGCTTTTTGGGTTGTTTGTTTGGTGTATCTTCCAAAGTAAATCTCATGAAACTATTCTTACTCTTCCTTTTTTGAGAGTGTGTATATGAGTGTGTTGGAAGGCAGGCTTTGGAGGTATTTAATATGTATTATCAAATTACACATTTCATTGATGAGTAATAAAATCTCAAAAATGCGTTTTTTTCTTTCTTAAACAGAGAAATACTTACCTGTTTTCTCATCCTGGACTTACTGTCAGGCTATTTTATTTCTTAGTATTATTCTCTATTCCTTTATTCACTGGTAATGTCTCATTTGAGTGTTGTTTGCTGGGTTTAGTGATTATTTTTCTTCCACCTATAAAAGTTGCAAGAGTTTTTCTTCAGAAAAAAACATTGAGAAATTGAATAGCACATTGAAGGTGTTCATGTCAATAAATCTTAACAGAGTTCTTTCAAGAATACAAGAACTTCTACTAAATGTAATCCCTGACTCGGAGTGAGTAGTCATCAAAAATTGTAAAATCAGTTAACAGCAAACTAGAAAACAAACAAAAAGAATTAAAATATATTATCTGCAAAACCATTCTACTGATTTTCTTCCTGTTTCTTTTTTTTCTCTCAATCACCAACTTTTACATAATAGTGAAGAGCCATATTCTTCCATTAACATTTATTTTAATAATTTCCAATTCACTGTACTGATTGTACTCAATAACAGTAATCATCTAGCCTTTATCTCTCATAAGTATTTATTTTTATAACAATCTATGAAGATTCCAAGGTAAGATATGAGGCCTGAATCCTACTACCCTCTTTCTTTCTTGGCTTCTAGTCTACAGAGAGAAAGGACTCAAAATTGAGATAAATGGAACAAATTATCAGCTTTTAATTAGGGCAGTGGCTACCAGGTATATTGGAGACTCTAGTACGACTGCCTCTTTCTGTTTAAGACTTAGAATTCAGTATCTACACTTCTCTGACTCGAACATTAAGTCGAAGGTGGGGAAGCCATACCTGAGATAATAAAGACCTGGTTTGCTTATTTTATGAACTGGTAATACAGAAATAGAGATTAGCAGAGAACTAAGAAAGAACTGACAAAGTCACCCTGCTATGGCCCCACCATCTGTTTAATGTGGTTGACATGAAGGTCAAATTTTCCCCTCTCCCAAACAGATATGTCGCTTCTCCTATGAGGAGAAATAACGAAGAGATAAAGAAAGAAATCTTAATCTTTCCCTCCGATCCTGCCTTCTTCCTCCAACTTTTTAGCTGCATAATGGAGTGGATTTTCTCTAATAAAAATATTTGGACAGGTAAATAATTCACACACACACATACACACATTATTATCCTTAGTTTCAAAAAGTAGTACTGACGTGTCAGGATGTGGAGGCTTGATTTGAAAGATTAACAAGTGAGTATCCATTTTATTAACCTAGCTGACATACACTGAGTTCCAAAGACACAGTTCTCAGACCTCTGGAGCACAGGTGAGCAGAAAGGGAGAGAATGATGTAAAAACAAATACTTCAAAAAAAAGATTATAGATGTTTCAATATAAGTCATTAAGCAACTAATTTTTGATTTAATTTATACTGCCTAGAATTTTTGGAGATAGATATATGCTTAAGTTATGAATGACACTATGGAAAAGGTAAATAATAGTGAGCAAGTCAAATGTACATCTAACTAAAATTTTAAAAGAAGGAGAGAAATAATAGGGCACAGGCAATATTTGAAAAAAATATCATTGCTAAAATATGGATGAAAGCCACCAATCCACAGATTGAATAATCCACTGAATTCCAGACAGGCAAAATAAAAAGAAAACCATATCCACTCACATTATATTGAAATTATGGAACACTGAAAACAAGTGGCAAAGAGTAAAAAGCAGCCAAGAAGGAAAAAACTTTAAGAAAGTGCAAATTGTACTGCCAGCTAAATCTCAAAAAAGAACAACAGAAGTCATAATATAGTGCAATGGCATTTTCAGGGTTGAGAGAAAATAATTGTCAAGCTATTATACCTCACAAAAATATCTTTCGATACCAAGAACAAAATAAAAAATATTTCCTGATAAATAAACTAATAAATTCACCTTCAGTAGAGCTTCGCCAAGAAAGTTCTATAAGGAGTTCTTCAACCAGATGGATATTCATATAAAAAAGAATGTCTGAGAAGCAAAAAAGAATAGTAGCAGGGAGAAAAACCCATTCATTTATAATAATAAAAGTTTTAATTTTCCAGGAAAATATTCCAATTCTAAATTTGTATACATAAAATAATCTGTCCTTAAACACATAGAGCAAAATTTGACAGAATTACAAAGAGATATAGGAAAATCCACAGTCAAGAGGGGAGATTTTAACATACCACTTTTCGTAACTGGTAGGTCAATAATGCTGTACCAAAGATGGTCCTAAATTACAGTATGCATGACCCTTTCCAGTGTGATCTTGTCACTTTTCCCGTGAAGTGTGAAGTTTATTTCTGCACCATTTGAATCAGGGTTTGGGTATGTAATTTGCTTTGGCCAAAGAGTCATTAGCAAATGTGAAACAAGCACTTACACACTGGGGCTCGCTCTCTTGATGGTCTTGGGAACCATACAACCACCACCAAATGAATGAGCCTGGGCTATCCTGCTGCATAAAGAAGGCTTTGGGCTCGGTTATCTCCATCACCCCTCCTAACAGCCCACCAATGCAATGACCAGCTCTATGGACGCTACAGATCACTCATGGACCACCGGCTGGCCACTAATATATGAATAAGCTTACCTGACATCCCTTTTAACAGAGATAAGCCTTTCTAACTGAATTCAGTCCAAACCGTTGACCTAAAAGGTATGAACAAATAATTATTATTTTAAAGCAGTAAGTTTTGGAGTAGTTTGTTTTGCAGTGAAAGCTAACTGATACAATTACCATTTATAGAAGCAAAGGTAAAATTAAAATAATATATTGCTTATTGATACATAATACAAAGTTGATAAAAACTATTTTGAAAAGTAAGAGGATGATTAACACAAAAGTCAAAATATTGCCCAAGATGAGGACAGAATTGGAAAAGGGCATACGGAGAATTTTAAACATATCTGTGATATTCTATTTTTTTCCTTGGGTAGTGGTACACTTATTTGGCTTTTTATTATCATCTTCTAAAAGATACAAAGATGTTTATAAACCCTATTAGAAGTATATTTCACATTTAAGAAAGGAGACATATAAATTAAAAAGAACAGCAAAATCAATACCATATATTGGGGAGAGGCCATAGGGAATAAACAGAATGGAAAGAAAAGTTCTCCATGAATGGCTGGAAATGATATTCAACATACTAGTAAAGAAATACAGCCAAAGACCTCTAACCGAGCAGAAACAGTATTTGGAAGTAAATTAAAAGAATTACCCTTGTCTCTGAAATATTTCTGAATAGCTCCACTTGGTGAATCACAGGCGTCTGAGAAAGTGATGCAGAGCAATTTAACAACTTCAAAAACTTCTGACATTACCTAAAGATTCTAGGCAGGTGAAAAACAATAAAAATAAAAATAAAATAAAATCATAAAATAAAACAAACCAGAATATTCCAGAAAATCAGACTATGAGTACCAGGAATGTTAAAATGGAAAAGGTAAAGGAACTAAAATAGAAAGACTCTGTACATTTATCTATTTTCTGTACAAGCTGGGCAAAGGAATATTTTATTAGCGTTTGGAACTTTGAGCTCAAATTTCAGTGCAGGCCTCTAATAAACTCTATTGACCCATCTGAAGAATTATTTTTACTGAGGCTTACATCAGCCTAGGAACCTGGAAGGGGAGCAGCCTTGGCCCGTCTCACACTCCTGTCACATTAGGCTGTGTGCTATGAGAGGAAGCAAGAAAACAGAGGCAGGCTTTCTACCCCTTTGGGAGCCTGTGTGATGGAGAACATGATATCGCTAAAGCAATACACAAGGGAGGATGAATGTGTCAATCATGAGATGTGGAGCTGGCGCCTCAGGGAGCCTACTGGGTAAAGCAGTCATTCATTCCTGTTTGCCCGGGAAAGTTGGATTTATACCATCGTTCAGGCATAATTATTAACAGCACTCCATCTCACTCAGAGAAGTGTCTGTTTTGACAATAAATTATATAGCCATCCTACTTATAAAGAAAGTCTTTTGAAAGGAGTTCAGAGCAATGAGGCTGAAAAGAAGAGCCTGTTTGTTTTTCCAGTCTCATCTTCGCCCATGTTTGATAAGCACCTCTCCTCCAAGACATGATAGCTATCCCCAGGCCCCCCACAGTCACTTTCCTTCCTTCCCCCACCTTTTCTCCAACAATAGATATCGCATCATCACTCTCTTCATTCCAAATAAATGGAAATCTCTTTATAGGAGTCCCCATATCTTAGGATTAAAACGGGGGTCGGGGGCAACGTGGGGAGAAATATGGGACTATAGGATAAAATAAACACTGAAAATTCCTGTTCTGAGTATGTCTCAATTTTCACTGTAGGTTTTTCTTCAGTTATAAAAAACTGCTTCAATATCAATAGATGCTATTTTCCAATGTCAGATGTTCACATTTGCCTCAGTGGAGTGTATTAAAGCACATCTTCGATCCAATGAATTACCTTTCATTCGCTCATGTTTACTTTTATTTCTCCATGTGTGCTGGAGCACTTTCAAGAGCCACAAGTTTTGCCTTCATCAGATTTTCCATGTACAAAAATTATGTATTTAATACCGAAGATGACTGACAAATTTGCTTGTCATTGTGTGGAACTGAAAATATCTAAAATGCCTTTAAGTAATCTCCTAGATCCCAACTTTTCTTCCTTAATTTCTATTCCCATGTGATGTTAGCATTCGGCTTCTAAAAGCTCATATTTGCGGTTTCTTTTCTTTTTTTTTTAAGGTGAGAACTCTACCATCTGCCTCTACGATGATCATATTTTTCTCTAAAATAAATATAGTACAGAACTCTCATTTTCTAAGTTAAAATTTCCGTCTTATTAAGATAGCTGACATTTTATCATTCAACCAGAGGCCAATTTTTTTCAGAGGGATGTTCTAGAAGAGAAACCAACATCAGGTTATGAGCTGGACATGAGCTATTGATTCATTCAACAAACATTTATGGAGTGACTACAATGAGCCAGACTAGATTATGAGCCTAGTTTTACAGCTGTCAGAGGAAGTAAAGCCAATGATAGTGGAATGTCCTCATTTTCCGTGCAACTCGCGTCTCCTCCCTAAAGGATTTCAGATTAGCAATTCAATACCCAAGGAGCAGTAGGAGATCGGAAGTCAAAATATCAATTTATCGATTGTTTAATGCCCTTTAGACAAAAGTTAACTGC